GATCTGGGTATATTTGGTTAGGTCGGGTGTGTTGTGTAGTACTGCTGATATGGATTCTTTCACTAGTTCTGGCAAGTTGGAACAGGATGTGGTCTAACAACAGATGATAGATCTTCAAAATTCTCATCTCTAGTTTCTCTAGAACAGAAGATACAGTCATTGTCTGGGCAATCAGATCAATGAAGGACAGGCGGTGTGGGGGTTGATTGAATTTTTCATTCCCCAAGGATTACCGGGATTACTTCTACATGGTAGAAATAATTGGAACAAGAGGTCACTATGGTCAAAATGCAAAAAAGAAAAATACAGTATGAGATGAATCAGAATCTCCAGATTGGGACTGCAGATAAACCAGCCTGTTCTACCACTTTTTAGTAGACTTGCATATGTGGTAGATCTACCTTTTGTAATTTCAGGCTGAATTTGTTTATACAGGGATTCTCTAAAAAAATTAAAGACAGTTGGCTACTCAGGAGGGATAAGAGAAAAAGCAACTTTATTGCTTTCTAGTGGCTGGATCCTGACTGTATTCAGAATGAAAAAAAATAGAGAAAAGAATCAAAGAAATGTACATCCTTGAAGGGTAATCTGATAATGCTACAGCTCCAAGTTCTGCAAATATCAGATATGATTTAGGACAGAGTTCTCCCCAGACTGAGACAAGGTTTACTCAGTACTAACAATGAATTATTTCTGAAAATAATAAATCATATTGAACTTTACATTGAATAAATAACTGATAAATATATGCTCTTTGATAGATTTATATGCCACCTTTCATACAGGAACTCAAGGCAGGATATGTAATGCTCCATTTCCCTATTCTTCCCCACAACAGCCCTGTGAGGTAGGTTGGGTTAAGGGAGTATGACTGGCCCAAAGTCACCCAGTAAACTTTGGTGGCAAAGGGTGGACTAGAACCTGGATTTTCCCAGTGTCAATCCAATAACTTAACCACTGGTTCTCAAAACTTCTATTTATTATCTTCAGACTATGGGGGAAGAAATGGCAGACTGAAGATGGCTCCATGAAAAGCGGAGCTGACAACTGAGGTTGAATTAAGAGCTGGTGAGTAGACTGGCTCTTCATAATTCCTCTCTGGACAAGAAGAGGACTTTGGATTGCCCACAAGTGCTCCAAACAGCAGCTCCTCATGATGGGACTGGAAGATAATGGTCTCTGGTGAGTTTAGAGCTCTGGGAGATGAGGGAATAGCCTCCTTGCTCAAACTGCAGTTGGCACCTTTGAAAGGAAACTAAGTTTGCATACTTCCTTTTCTAATCACTTTCAGAAATTGCTTGTTAACTGCTTTTCAGCTATTAGGAACCTTTGGATCAATATGTTTGACAGCATCAGGTGAGTTTCCTTAAATCCTTAGTGAAAGAAGTTTTAACTACAAGTGTAAAAACTTTAAAAAAAAAATTTTTTTTTTTTGGAATAAACAGCAAAAGGGTAATTAAAACTTTGATTTTAGAAAGTTACAAATGG